AGGGGAGGATTTCAAGTGCCACCCCACGGAAGCCCAGGAATCAGGCTGTGGGGCTGGGCATCTCGGCCTTCACGCGGGTCTCACTGGGGCTGTGTGGTGACGGCGTCCGCGACGGGGCCCGGGGTGCAGGCTCTACCTGGCCTGGCACGCGCGCCGCTTCGGACTCCTCGGCTGCCTCCACCTTGACGCTCTTGGGGACCGTGGAGGGCTCGCTGCCGCTGCCATTCTGGGCCTCCCCGTTGGTGGCCTCGACCAGAGCCTTCTTGTCCAGGCCTGGTGACGGGATGGGTGCCAGACCTAGGTCCGAGGACGCCAGGGGACCGTGCAGGCCTGGGTGCTGCTGGAGGCCAGCAAGGGTGTCTGCAGGGAGATCACAGGGGCACCTCAGGCCTGGCACCTGGGGTACTCCCGAGCCCAGGCACTCTCTGGCTGCTCACCTGCAGGCAGCTTGGCAGCTGGGTGTGCTGCATTTGGCGAGTAGATCTCACCCTTGGAGCCGGGCTGGCACACCATGTGGCTGGTTACCAGGTGGCTATAGAGGATGTCCCGAGTGGTGGAGATGAAGCCGCAGCTGTGACAGACACCTGGGGGCCATGTGTGTCGTTCAGGGCCCTGGGGCTGAGGTGCGCGCACTCCCCCACCCGCACAGCCCACCTACCGCTGAGCGTGTCTGTGTGCACCTTGAGGTGGCGTTCGCAGTTGGCCTTGGTGGTGAAGGCCGACAGGCAGATGAGGCATACGAAGGGCCGCTCTCCTGGAACACAGGGACATGTGGCCTGGGCCCCCCTGGGCCCCCGACCCAGGGACCAGGAAGACAATACTGCACCCAGGACCTCGACTAGCCTGGCCCTTGCTCGCCCCAGGACCCTGTGTGTGGGGAAACCCATGTGGGGCCATGGGTGTGGGGGGAGATGCACCATGTCCCCCTGTACGTGGTGAGGACAAGGTGGCCCGGGGCAGGCATCCAGCTCACCGCTGTGGCTGCGCATGTGGATCTCCAGGGAGCTAGCGCTGGGGCAGCTCTTGCGGCACTGGGGGAAGGGGCAGATCCGCTCGTTGGGGTACGGCTCCTTAGGCTTGTCCTCTGTGGCTGCTGCAGCTGGCGAGCTGGCACCCTGGCGGCTAGCGCAGTAGTAGAAGAGGTGGGCTTGCAGGTTGCGCTCACTGCGGTACCAGATGCCACAGTCCTTGCATGGGAAGACGTCCTCTGTGGGGGGGCAGAGGGGGGCTGGCTGGAAGGTCCTGGGTAGCTGGGCCCATCCTCCTGTGGCTTCTCCTGGCTGTGCTCTGGTAACCCTGACCCCCTTTTGAGGGTTTTCAGGATCCACTCCTGGTGGCTCTATCATAACAGCGAGCCGTGAGAAGATGCTGTGGCTCAGGTGGCCAAAGAAGAAGAGTAGACGTGCGCCGGTGGACACTGAGCGAGGGTGAGGAGCAGTGTGAACCTGGGGAGCCTCGGGAGAGGACAGGAGCAGCCGCTGCCCAGGAAGTCCTTGTGCATGTCCTGGAGGCCAGGCGCTGCAGCAGTTAGGAGCGGTCCCTGTCCCACTTTTGCCTGTGTGTCTGTTGGCACCTTGAAGGGCCAAGCTGGCTCAAGTTTACCCAAATGCTGCTTCTTTGAGTCTATAGGGATTTGGACTGCCTAGGGCCTTAGAAATGTAAGGATTTCTTTGGTTCGTGTTGTGTGTCTACAGCAAGGTTTTTGTTGTTTTTTTGAGACGGAGTCTCACATTGTAGTTCAGGCTGACCTTGCACTCAGGCATCCTGCCTCAGCCTCCCAATATGGCAGGATTTTCAGGAGTATTTTGATTGCCTCTGCCCTAGCCCCTGCTCCATCTGCCGGAAGGCCTTGGCAGCAAGGCTGTGACCTCCGGTAGCACCAAGGGCCTGGGTTCCCTCTTTGGCTGTGAGGCCAGTTCCCACAGAGCCCAGGGTGCCAGTCTACTTGAGCGGGAGTGTGGGTGCTGAGCCTCTGCTCCACAGCAGCCTCAGCCTAGGTCCTCCCGCCGAAGTCTGCCGGCATGTCTGATGAACATGCCTGGGACATCACTGCCCAAACCTGAGATCCCAGAGGGGGATAAGTGGGCTCCTGGTTGGCAGACGGGTAGACTGTGGGACCCCTAACCTCTGCCCTCACCGGGGCCGGTCCCCAGCTTCCCTGGCTTCCTTTGGCCATGCTTGCTTCCTGTCTCTGTCAGACCTTGATGCTCATCCCCAGGGTAGAGACCGAGCAGACAGCCGCCTCTTGCACGCTGCTGCTTCCAAGCTGCTGCTGTTTCCAGGCCACTGCAGCCCCTGCCTGCACCCTGCTGCTGGCCTCTGTGGCCAGCACCGCCTCAGTGTACCACACGGTGGGTGCTGAGTGTGTTTTTGGGAAAAGGGAGTCCAGTTCTCACAGCTCCTCTGCCTCAGGGAGGTGACAATCCATGCCACAGGCTGGGGCCTGTCATGACCTGTGCTCTGGGAACCTCCTGTCCCTGTCCCTGGGCTTGGCTCCCACTGGGGCCTAGGTCATGGCTTCCCCTTGGTGCCCTCTTGGGGTGGAGCTCTCTGCTTGGTGTCCTTGCCTCAGCTGTGTGCTGTTTCTCCCCCCAGTGGCCTACAGGGGTGCGGTGTGTCTTTATTTTGGGTGCCAGTACATGCCAGCGCCCCTGACCTTTTGTCTGTCGAGCCCTCCCAGGCGGGGTGGTTGCTACTCACTGTTGATGACTGCTGTGGCGAGGATGGATGCCATGCCGGCCTGCTGGGGCAGCAGCTGGATGTCGGGGGGTGCTGGAGCAGGGTTCTCGGGCTCTGCTGGTTCCTCCTTCATGGGATGACTGGGGGTGCCTCGGGGCTCGGCCGTTAGAAGCACACGCAGGGCCTCACCCGGGGGCACCAGCCTGGTGACCCTGCACCACAGGCTGTCACCTGGCGGGCACAGGCACGAGCTGGGATGGTGATGCTGGACCTCTGCCCTCCCTCTGGGTCACTCTAGTCCTGGGCCCTCTGCACTGCCTTGGGGGAGAGCAGACCCAGGGCCAGGCAGGAGGCAGCTGGCAGGTTCCTGCAGTGTGCTCTTGCCCAAGTGTGAGGCTGCAGGGACCCCTGGTGGGGTGCTGTGCTCAGCTCTTGCCCACCACCTCCCTGGGTTCCCTGTACTGTTTAAGTGATTCAGGCATGGTTTTCCCCATGGTGACGTCTAGGGGGCAGCCTAAGCCAGCCAAACCAGGACAGCTGGTTTACCTCTCGCCTGAGGCCCCTATTCTGGGGCTGAGGCTCTGCCGACAGGTGGATCCCATCAAAGCTTGGGGCCTAAGGGAGGGATCACCGAGTCCCCAGTGCTGCCCAGCCCTGCCAAGAGCCGGCCACCCTCACTAGCATCCTTGCTGGAAGGCCTTGTCTTTCCAAGGTGAGCCTGTGTGTGGGCCCATCCAGGTATGGACGCCCCACTGATCACTGCCACCAGTACCCTGGCCCTGAGTCCTGGGGTGCATGGCTTCCCAGAGCTGGAGTATCCCCACTGCTCTCTGGGTCTTGGTGCACCCTTCACTTTGTTCTTTGTCCAGTGGTTGGGGAAACTGAGGCACATACAGTGCTGGCCTGGGCCTGATAGTTGAGGCTTCTGCTGTCCTGACATGAGCGCTGCCTCTGGCCCCACTGGGCTGTGCTTGGGCTTTTTGGGACCCCTTTCCTACACCCAGTCCTGGTGTAAGGGGACCAGTTGGAGTGGGTACTGGGGCACAGCCTCTCCCCTGCCTCACTCAGTCCCTCAGTGGAGAAGCTGGCCCGGCGTTGCCCCATGTCCCTCAGCTGGGGAAGGATACTGCTGGTGGACACGGCCAGTTGCCAGTCAGTGCCCCAGCTGGGTGCAAAGGCCCTGAAAGAGGCCACTACTGGGGCAGAGGGGGAACTGCGGTATCCCCAGCTGAGCCCTATCATGGACAGCGGTGTTGGCCTTGGAGAGCAGCTCCTGGGGATCCCTCAACCCCAAACAACATGGTTTCCCTTTAAGGCCACTAGGCAGGGCTGGCGACCCGCCTTCCGGAAGGCTGGGACCGGGAAGCGCCACATGATACCAACCCTTCCTGTAGATCTCCGAGTTGGCGTCAGCCTCGGTCAGGGCCTGGGGCAGCGTCCTCAGCCAGCAGGCCTTGTCAGTGAGCAGCAGGGTCAGGGCTGGGCTCTGGGGACAGTGGGGGGCAGGGTGGTCAGCAGGAGCTAGCTCCTTAGCCCAGCACAGTATCAAGGGTCCGACAGCCAAGGGGACTGGCCCTTATCCAGGCTGTTTCCATGTTGGCACTGGATTCTCCTGGAAGCCACGACCCTCAGGAGCCACACAGCACAGCTGAAGCCACCCCAGATCCACGTCTTCTCTACACTATGTCCAAGGCCACGAATGTGCTAGCAGCAGATGAGCTCTGTGAACCCAGCACAGAGCCACAGTAGGGCTGCCCATCCCTGCCCTGTACCCAGTCCAGGGGCACCATGTTGGGTCAGCCCTGTGCCTGCCAGCCTTGCTGTATCAGAAAGCAGGCAGTACCCCTCCTCATGTCACAGCTGAGGAAACAGGCGCCGGGTAGGGAGGCAGTGAGCCTGAGCCCAGCTGTGTACCTCCACAGCTTAGTCTCCACCTGACAGGAAGAGCACTCGGCTCAGCTCTGGGGCTGCCTCAATTCCTGTGCCCCTGGTCTGGCACCCTGCACACAGAGCACTGCTCTGACCCTGATCTCAGCCAGCAGGGTGCCACCATGCTTGGCATTTTCCTGTGAGTCCGCTCACTCTTTGTTTCCTTCAAATAAATGCTTTTAAATCAGAAGCCTGGTGCACTATGACCTTGAGCATATCCCTGTCACCTGCTGTACTTGGGATGGCCACCACGTGCCTTGCCTGGCTTGTGACCCCAGGATGCTTGTGGCAGTTGGGCCAGGGCTAGGGTGGGGCACCTCTCCTCGAGACCCTTCCGTGTGACCACAGTATGGGACCGCAAGATAAGGCTGTGGTGGGGACAAGCCACGTGGCAAGGTTAGGGCAGCCTGGCTGGGTGGCATCTGCATCTGGTGTGGTCGTGGGCTAGGGAGTGGAGCTAAGCCAGCCCTCTGTAAGCAAGTGAAGCCCCTTCCATATGGGGAGGGCTGTGGGAGGAAGAGGAGACCACATCCCTGCTGGCTCTGAGCCGTCCTCAGCCCCAGGGGCCCTGGGCAGGTCACTGCCATGTCTGTGACTACTTCCTCCCAGGATGCAGGGAGCCAGAAGTCTGGCACGTGCTGAGCAGCCCTCTTGGCCCGGCAACAGCAGGTGTTGGCCTGGCCGCTGCTCTTACTTCCCCTCGGCCGGCTGGACCAAGTGACCAGGGCAGTGCATCTGGGCCCTGGGGTGGCTGACCATAGCCAAGGCCAGCTGAGGGCATGCATCCTGCTTCTGATAGGCACCGGGGATCCCAGGGTGCAGGGCAGGGTGAGAACTGGCAGATGGGGGTACCTGTATGGGCTGGCCTGGGGGTCAGCGTGCTGGGCAGGGCCTGGCACCCTGGCTGGGGACCCGGAACTCCTGCCCCAGCTGCCCCTGACCTGGGCAGCTGGCTGTGAGGGGCGGCAGGGCTTGGGCCTCCCTGCCTCGGCCTTCCCAGTTGCTAATGAATATTAATGAGCAGAAGAGGGTGAGAAAATTAATCTGCCTGATCCTTCGATGGGTGCCACAGTAACGATATGAAATCTAATTATTCGTCCCAATATTCCTAAACCCTCAACCCGAGACTGACAGCCCCCGCTCGGCTTAGCGCTTATCGGCCTCGGAAGCAGCGTGTCGGCGCACGATAAAGCACGCTTGAGACTGCTGACGCTGCACAACCCTCCTCGCGGGGACGCTGGGCCCCTTGCAGGGAGGCCCAGCCCACCCAGCACATCCCGAGCCTGCAGCTTGTGCTGCAGGAGCGGGAGGCCATTGGAGGGCCTGGCACCCCGTGTGGGCTGGACAATGGCTGGGCGGGGGCAAGACCTGGAGTTGCACCTCCCTGCCGGGGTGCCTGGAGGCAGTGGCCAGGGCAAGCCAGGGAGCTGTACCCCGAAGTCAGCCCAGGGCCAACCTCCTCCAGTGGGTGCCAAGGCCGTGTGGCGTGACCAGCCCTGCTGACTTTCTTTTCCCATCTTCACCTTTCTGCATTGTTTCCAAACCACCCCGGAGAAAGCCCTCTCTTGTGCTAGAGCCAGGGCTGAAGCGGGTGCCCTGAGCCTTCTGCCCTGACAGTGGAAACGTAGGGTGCGGCCGGGGTTAGGGTCAGGGGAGGGCCCTGGGGCCCACCCTGTGCCCTGCCCCTCAGAGTCTATGTCCCTCCCAGCCCGCGATGCCAGGCGGACACTAAATTTTCCCGTGGAGCCGCGGTCGCTCCGGTTTCCCGCAACAAAGAGGTCAGTGTCTCCCTCTGCAGCCGATAACCATCAGAAACTATCTGCACCGCACCCGCTGTGCTGGCTTCTCTAAGGCTGCTCCCAAACCTCTGGGCACCCTGGCGGCACAAACGGCTCTCGAAGCCCAAAGCGGCTGCTGCAGTGTGCATTCACAGCGGCGGTACATGGAGCACAGCTTCCAGGCTCTTCAGGCAACGTCCACCAGCAGAGTTTCAAGCCAGCTGTGTGCCAAGGGCTGGGGGCCCGGCCCACCTTGGCAGTGTTGCTAGGCTCTTACGTTGGGTGAGTGGCCAGGTGCTGTCCTAGGCCCTGGAGGGAAGCCCACAGGCATGGCCCTTGCCCATGCCCCTCTGTGCCACCCCTGGCCCTCTCTGGTGGGATGGCCCTTGCCCAGAGAGGGTGCCCTGGCCCTTTGCTTGGGTCCCTCTGTGCTGCTGAGGTGTTCGTACTGCTGCAGGGAGAAGGATGCCCAGGACCCTGGAGGGCCTCCTGTCTCCTTCCCTACCTGCCCCTTGGGGCTGCCCTAAATCCAGTTAGCCGTGACACCCATAGAGCAGGGTGGGCAGACAGAGAGCAGCATAGCCACTGTGCTCATGCCAGGGAGCTCCAGGGCCACCAGGGCTCAGAGGGACCTCATTGTGTCCCAGCGAGGCCCGCTCAGAACATGGTCTCAGATGTGGCTGCTGGGTGGGGAGGGAATGAAGTTCTGTAGGTACCAAGTGGATTGGCTCAGGTCCCAGTGACAGGAGCAGATGGCAGGATCCCACTATCTGGTGGCTGCTGAGGCTGATGGCTGAGAGAAACAGAAAGCACTTCCACATGGTCTGCACGGGGTCCTACAAGGGCCGGATGGGAGGCGGCAGAGACCATGGGACTGTACTGCTGTCTGCTCCTAGCCCTTCACAGCCCAGGTGCACAGGGAACACCAGGTCCTTTAGCGGGAAGAGGCTGGGCTCCCATCCGGGAAGGAAGCAGCACAGACGCTGGGCCGGATGTCTGGTAACTCACTAGAGGTGGACGCAGAGCTGGGGCAGCTGGAGGGAGCCCTCCCGGGCCATCCCCTGTCCCTTCCACGAGGGGCCTGTCTCAGCTGCCCAGCACTGCTGAGGTTCTAGCCAGGGCGTACTGACAAGTGCAGGCTCCGCCATGCCAGTGACCCCTGTGCCATTTTCCGGGCTCCCTGTACTCAGGCTGTGTGGGCTGACCCAAAGGCTGCTCCACAACCATCCCTGAGTCAGCAAAGGCTGCCTCCCTCTTGGTTGCCACAAGCCCTCCCCTGGTCTCACAGACACCATGGTGGGCTAGGAGTAGAGTCTGTGGGGGACAAGTGGACAGGCAGAAAGACAGGGGCCATGTGTGCTCCAGTGGGGTGAAAGCTGGCTCACTTGCTCACTCACCTAATACTCGCTCACCCAACCACCCATTCGTCATCCATCTGTCCACCTGTCAGCTCACCCACCCACAAATCCGTCCGTTCATCCCCTCATCCACCATTCATGCACACATCCAGCTACACATCCGTGTGTCCACCCACCCACGCATCCATCCGCAGGTCCTTCCCTCTCTCCATCCGCCCACCCACGACCACAGAGCCATCTGTCCACCCACCCACCCACCACCCGTCTACTCACCCAGCTACTCACTCACCCGTCTGTCCATGCCTCATCTACTGGCTGTCCATCACCGCCTGCCGTCACCCCTTGGCCATCCGTCATGCATCTCCCACCCACCGTCACCCATCATCTACTTGTCCACCCCCCACCAAGCATGTTCCTCCTATCTGTGCGCTCTGGGGCTGGCTGGACCCCAATGCCCAGTTTTGCAGCAGGGAACCCTCAGCTGGATCACAGAAGTCAGCAGGTGGTGCCTGGCCAAGATCACTGACGCCCCCAGGGCTCTGTTCCCTCATGCTTCCTTCTGGCTCATTTCCGGTGGCCGCTGTATGGGGGGCTGTGTGGGGAGCCCCTCTCCCCAGCTCACCCTGCCAGCCTGCAGGAAACAGGCAGAGGGTAGCCACATGGGGTCTCCCCGCCTACCACAGGGAGAGGGCAGGGCGCCTGGCCTGGCGGCTGATAGGACCACGTGGGCCAGGCAGCGTGTCATCCTCTGGACAGCTGGGGGAGAGCTGGGGTCCATCAGCCGAGCTGATAAGGCACCCACTGAGACGTAGCAAAAATATTTAGACAATAAATGAAGTATGGGAAAGGCACGTATCTTTCAGAGATCAATCATTGGTATGGTGTCTGGACAGTGGCGCCGTGGCAGAGATAGGGCCTCCCGGGGAGATAAGGGTTAATCGAGGATTTAATTCTGCCGAGATAGCTAGCAGGGCGGGAGGGAGGGGCACTTCCCTTGCAGCAGTCCAGGCCCCTGGTGCCCCCAGGGAGGGTTTCAGCCACTCAGTGCTCCCAGCTGACCTGTGCCCAGGCCAGGGAGGGGGTTGCAGGGGTGCAGTGTCCGGCTGGCCCAGCCCTGTGTTAGGGAGCTCCTAGTGCCTCGGGAAGTCCCCGAACCTGCCAGTCTCGGTCTTGGTATCTGCAAAACGGGCACAGCAGCATCCGCCTCAAGGGCTGCAGGTGGTTTGTGGGGTGCGGGGTGTGGGACGAAATCCTTTCTATCCAGATCTGGGCTGGTGGCCCCCAGAAGGAGAGAGGGGAAGCATGGGCAAGCACAGAGACCCCACTCTGGCCGCTCCTGCCCCTGCCAGCCACCTTGGGGGGTTTCCCGACACTCTGAGGTTCAGAGAGGGAGTCAGGGTCTATCCACCTGCGGCTGCCCCTTCCAGCCAGCCACACCATTCTGCATCGAGCACCCAGCGCCCAGGGGAGCCACCTGTTGCACCGCACACCTGGGGGCCGGGGAGCTCACTGCCTGCACAGCCAGCTGGATGCTGTGCTCTGAGGTACCAAGGTCACACTGCCGGCTGGGGAAAGGGTGTCCTCCCTGCTGCACCATGCAGTCATGGCCAACCTTCACCTGCCCACTGCCCTGCTCTGTAGACAAACTCGAGGCCCTGCCCCTCAGCTCCCAGGCTCCGTGTCCCGCTGCAGGGCCCAACAGCCCAGCCTGGGCAGGTCCTGGCCTGGGACACAGTGAAGCTGCGGCCTACATGCAGGAGTCTGGGACCTGACCCAGCCTCCTGACCCAGCAGAAAGCCTGTGTGGGCAGCCCAGGGGCTTCAGTGGGCAGCATGCCTGTGCCCAGGAGGCTTCTACCACAGAGGCCCCGCCCACAGCAAAGACTTAGCTCATCATGGGTGGGTGCGGGGCATGCTGGGAGCTCAGAGTCCTGGGGTCTGCAGCTGGGGTTCTTCTTGCTCCCACCAGCCCCTCAGGCAGAGACAGGGCTCTAATTTCAGGCCAGTGCTGGGCAGGGCTGCCAGCACAGCATCTGTCCCCCATGTGAAGAAGCACAGCCACAGGCATAGCCCCACCCTCACTTGAGGTGGGCCCTGAGGCCCTCAGGACCAAGTGGCCAGCCAGGTGAATAGCCTGGATCAAGCCACACCTGAATGACACCTCAGGAAATCAGAAAGTGCCAAGCCACAGCCACACCTCAGGCGCTGTGGCACCTGAGCCTTGACTCAGAGGCACTGATCTGGGAGCCATTTGGCCCCAAATGAGTACCACAAGGCCCAGGATGCATCTCTCAGATACTGACTGTGTGTGAGTGCCTCCTATGTCTGTGTTGCCCACCCATGCATACTACCACGGACACCTTCCTCAGCATCAGCAGGACCCACAAAGACAGGAGTGGGCTGCCTGCTCTCAGATCCAGCTGTCTGAGCTGCCACTCCAGCCGCGGGGTCCTGTCCCCCTTGGTCTGGGAGGTGCAGCTCCTCCTACCTGAGCACCCTGCCTGCTGCCCCGCTGCCACTCAGCACTGGGAGCCCCAGGGGCAGGTGAACCCCGGCCCTCTGTCCCAGTCCCAGCCAGCGTCCCAGGCTGGCCTCAGCCCAGTGAGTGCTGGTAGTCACCAGGGTCCTTACCGGCTCCGTCAGCCCAGGCGGCGCTGCTCTGGTCTGGATGCTCCCGTGGAATGGGCCCCAGCACAGGCCCTCGGCGAGGCTGAGTCGGGCCTGCACGCGTCTCTGTCCATCCCGCAGCTCCAGCTCCAGCTCCTCTGCAGGAGGCGAGCGGGAGAAGTGTTCGGCTTGGGCCCAGCCACCTCCCATGGGTGAAACCTCCCCCAGCACTGCGGCCCCCTCCCCCCGGAGTACGCATCAGAGGAAGAGGATGGGCTGGGGGGAAGGAGCAAGCACGGAGACCTAACTCTGGCCCCTTGCCTGAGCCCCGGGCCACTGGCTCTGGGAACCAGGACAGGGCTCCGAGTGAGGCTCCCAGCAATGCACCTGTGTGGGGTGTGGACTCGATGACGTGTAATTACGTCAGGGGCCTGAGAGGGGCTCAGCCTGCCTTAGCGGGCTGCCCTAGATCCAGGGACAAGCGCCTTCGTAAGAGGAGGGACAGACGCTGGGAGAAGAGGGTGACGGGGCTGGAGCCAGGTGCTGGGAGCCGCCTTGCACACCCTGAGCTGTGCTCCGCCTCCGGCTAATAGGCCCGCAGCTGTAGGAGCTCAGGCCCTGGCTCCTCCGGCCACGCCCCAGGGTGGAGC